TACAATACCCCAACCATTATATCCTTGTTATAAACCTGTTAATTAGCACTTTAGGTGGAGTTACCCTACCACCAAATTTGTTATCTCCCTCTTTTTTTAACAGTTGGAACATTTAATCTAAAACTTATTTCCTGGTTTCTCCCAACTGTATCATTAGTTTTTAGACCATGTAAATGCACATTAAAAATATAAAGAGTTAATATATTCACATGGCTGAAATTTCAAAAGAAGAATTTAAAAAATACAATGAAAAGAGTCATTTTACTTTGCCCACTAAACACCCAGGCCCCCTGTCATAAGCAAATCATGTTACTAAGTTTTTAAATACCCTAATAGGGATTTTTGTACATATATGAGCAATTTCACACATGTTATTTTTTCCTTTTTTAACACAAATAGCAGCATACTGTACATGCACTTCTGTATCTTCCTTTTTTCACCAAATTTATTCTAAAGATTCTATGTCAGCATACAGTGAGCTCTGTCGTGTTTGTTAACTACTTTGTAGTATTTGGTTGACCAGGTGTACCATGATTTCTGTAATGCTGTATATTTACAGTATACAGCATATAGTAGCCATTTCTATAATACTGTATATTCAATCCTTCTTTCTCTGTCTTTTCTTCTTCCTCCTTCCCTCCCTCCCTTCCTTTCCTTTTCTTTCTTTTTCTTCTACCTTCTTCCCCTTCCTTCTTCTTTCCTCCCTCTCTTCACCTTCTTCTTTTTCTTTTTCTTAACAAACACCTCTACAGATATCTTACTTTCTAACTTCCTCCCTATCCTCTAGGAAATGCTGGTCACAAACTAGTTTAATTGAGAAGTCATAAATTGCAGCTAGATTGAAGGCTTCCACTCTTTTGAGCTATAGTTGATTACATCTGCAAGATGTCTAGCAAGATCTAGGAAGGAGGCATATTTTAAAAGATGAGGAGCTATGCCTACAGTTGGGCTACCCTCACCATACAACTTAAGAAAGTTATACCAAATTATTTGGAAAGCGTCCTAGAGTTTATTCTGCTGAGCCTGCCTTCCTGAAAAGGGGCAAAAAAATATATATATATATACAAAAAAAAAATGCCTGCTTGCCCACTAAAAGTTTGACTCTTGCTGCCTACCCAACAAAAATGAGGCCAGTAAATGATGTTTCTCCATTTGATTATATACTTTTAGTGCCAAGAATAGTTTTTTCTTTCTCAAACTTCTGAAACTAATAAGTATATAAATAGCTCTCGTGGTGGAATTACACAGGTTCCTAACAGGGTGGAACAATTAATATCCACCTTCCTTGGAGCTCTGTCAGAATTCCTTTATTCTTGAATTGTTGGATAAAGGGTAAGACATCAAGAAGAATATGCAGTAGGATTTTTGAGAAGAAGTAGGGCTTGGTAAAGGGGTCTCGGAGTGGGTATCAGAAATACCAAGTCTGCTTCAGGTGACTAATATACTTCTGTGTGTGACACTGCTTTTAGATTTACAAAGTTTGTGTGTCCATTTGACCTTTAGAGGTACACTTTGAAGGTACATAACTTCAGAGGGATTTTTCATATCATAAAACATAGTCATCACTTCAAATCAAATACCATAAATGCATTGAAAAAGTATAGTAGATTACACATAAAAGTAAGGTGTTAATAGTGATTATCTCTGGGTAATGGAATTAGACAGATTTATAAAATTTTTTCTCTTTTTTTAAATATTTCTATTTCCTAGGCTTTTTCTTTTTTTCCTTTTTCAAGAGAACATATACTTTTTGTGTAATAAAAAATTCTAACAAATGTTTTCAAATAAGTTTTGCAGTTTTTTATCTGTTCATTCAACCAGCATTTATTCATTTCCTGCACGGCACTCTGCCAAGTGCTTTAGAGAGGCTGAGGATTTAATGTACGTCCTTTCCATTACATGGATCCATATACTTACGGATTGATGATTAAGTAGATAAAGTGCACATGTAATGATAGAGTACAGTCTTAAACAACAGAAAGGCAAATCCAAAATAGTATAACAAACTATTTTACAGTATTAACTAGATAGGATGTAAAAGAGAAATGAAAATGGAGTGAGTTTATTTAGGAAAAAGCTTTGATTATGGTCATTTTAAGCTAGGACACTGACTGAGGGAAATAAAAGAGGTAAAGTATTCCAAATGTAAAGAAATGATAGCAATGGTGACAAATAATTGAAAGTCTTCAGATTGCAAATCAGGATACTAAAAAGACTAACTTGGTTAATGCAGAGAAATCAGAAAGGGGATCAAAGAGAAATTTTGAATACTGAACTGAGGGCTTTGAATTTGGTTCAATAGGCCACCCACCATAGCTTTGAAAATGCAAAGTTAACTAAAGTAAAAATTTTTAAGTGAAGATTACAATTTTTCGTTGTTGTTTTGGTTATATTGGGTGAGATGGGTTAGAACAAGGGCACACCAGAATCTAGGAAACAAGCAGGTATGAAGTGATGAAGGCCTAGATTTGGGGAGTGAATATCAAAGTGGAGAAAAAGGAATGATCAGCAAGCATAGAGAATCAACATGAGCTGGTGCCTGATTAAATGTGGGGAACAACAAAGGAGATAGGAACAGAAGAAGTTACTTCAGAGGAATCCATACAAACTTTCTGAAGAGATATGTAGCATTATGTATTATCCTTTCTTTACATTTTTATTTCCACCTATTAGAATGGCTAAAATCCAAATAACTGACAATACCAATTGCTGGCAAGGATGCAAAGCAACAAGAACTATCACTCATTGCTGGTGAGAATACAAAATGGCACAGCCCCTTTAGAAAAGTTTGGACGTTTCCTACAAAGCTAAAAGTAATCTTAATACACTCCACAGTTGCACCCCTAGGTAGTTACTCACTGATCTGAAACATAGATCCACATAAAACTCTGCACATGAATGTTTAAAGCAGCTTTGCTCATAATCACCAAAACCTGGAAGCAACCACGATGTTCTTTAATAAGTGAACTGATAAACTGTTACAGCCATATAATAGAGAACTATTCAGTAATAAAAAGGAATGAGCTAACAAGCCATGCAAAGATACAGGTGAATTTTAAATGCATATTGCTGAGTCAAGCCAGTCTGAAAAGGCTTCCAACTGTATGATTCCGTTTATGTGACATTCTGGAAAAGGCAAAACTATGGAGATAGTAAACAGATCAGTGACTGCCAGGGGTTGGAGTAGGAGAAGGTTTGAATAGGTGAAGCTTGAGGATTTTTTTTGGGTGGTACAATTCTTTATGATACTGTATTTTATATGATACTCTAATAGTGGATACATGGTGCTATGCATTTATCTAAACCCACTAGAACTTTACAGAACAGAGTGTACTTTAATGTATAAAAAAATTTTTTAAATTATTAAGTAGGTCAGGGGATCCCAGAATGGAATTCAGATTATGACAAAAGAATCTAATTGCATTACAAATTTATGAAACAACTTTTCTGAAGGGAGTGGAAGAAAAAGGTACTGACCTGTGTAACTTTGGAAATGAGTGATGGCACTAAAACTAAAGGTAAAAGGAACAGCACATAAGCACTGTGCTCTGGTTGATGAAGTTGTTTCCCCTGGAAATATGCATTAACAGATCTGATCCTATGTAAGTGTATTGAAACTGAACAATTATGTAATTGATGGGCAGATGGTGGGAGCCTAGTTTCTCACTGTTGGAGTGGGAGATTACAGATAAGCAAGGGAAGAAACTAGAATGATCCATATGGTAATGGATTAGAGTTGGAAACATCAACATGAACTCGTATTTAGTTTAATATAGTTATAAATGGATACATGTAGAAATACGTATAGGTATGTGTGTATACACAAGTTAGTGTACACACATATTTTTCCTTGCCCTGTCAGCTAAGAAAACCTAGAAAAAACACTTCAGTAGCAACATACATAATTTGCTTCCAGATGTTGGTTTTTAATAACATCCTCCAATAAAAGGAATCATGGCTCTTAGGAAAAATGACTGATTCTAAAATTGGGACAGGAGTATACAAGATAAACCCAGAGCATCTTACAGTGCCAAAAAGTAAGAAAATACCAAACACACACACACATACAAGAGTATCTCAGAAAGATACAGGGGCTAACTGAAAGAGCTCCCAGTGGCCAAAAGTGGAAAAATTTGAGCAAATACTAGACTGAATTATAACCCAAAAGTATAGGATAAATATCCATGAGTCCATATGAGTATAAATGATTGAATAAATAAATGGGGAGAATAGATAAGTCTTTCATGCAGATGAACTGCAAATTTATGTAGATATCAATGCTCAGGGTGAAGTATTAACTCTCCTTTCCTTAAATGTGGGCTGTGCACAGTGACGTTATTCCAAAGAGTAAAGTATGTAAGGTGGGAGAGAGTTACCTACAGTGGAGAAACCTGACAAACACTATCAACCGGGTGGTCAAGATTGACATCAACAGTAATATCTCGGGTTCCATTGATGCTATGTGGGAGAAAAGTCTGAGAAACTGTCACAGCCTAGAGGAGCCTGAGGAGACATAATGACTAAATGTAATATAGTATCCTGGGTGGGAGGCTGGAACAGAAAGAGGACATGAGCTCAGCGTGGGTAGTATAGTCAATAATATTGTAATAACTTTTGTACAGTGACAGATGATTACACCTATCATGGTGAGCATTTTGTAATATATATATCATTGTCGAATCACTGTGTTGTACACCTGAAATTAATATAATATTGTATGTCAACTATACTTCAATTGAAAGAAAAAGGACATGAAGTAAACATGAAGGAAATCTGAATAAAGTATGGATCTTACTTAATAATGTATCAAGTAGCTAATATTAATGTCTCAGTGTTGGTTCATTAATTGTGACAAATGTACCATACTAATGTAATATATTAGTAATAGAGGAAACTGCATAACAGACTATGTGGGAACTCTCTGTACTATCTTTGCAACATTTGTTTAAATCTTACCATTCTAAAATTAAAATTTTATTTTTATTTTTACTTTTTTCCAATTCTGTGGACATAAATTGATATAACATTGTATTAGTTTAAGGTGTAAAGCATAATGATTTGATAAACACAATTATTGCAAAATGATTACCACAGTAACTTTAGTAACATACATCACCCACCGCATATAGTTACAGGGCTTTTTTCTTGTCATGAAAACTTTTAAGTTCTACTCTGTTATAAAAGTTTATTTTTTAAAATGCATATGCCTTTGTACTTCTAAGAACTTATCTTTAAAAGTTAATCAGACATGAGCACAAAAATATTATATTGCAAAAAATCAATACAATCTAAATATCTAACAGGAAAATGCTTAACTCAGTTGTGGTTTTCAGTTTGATTCCAGTCATTAAAAATGAAGTTCATATTATATTAAACAGAAAATAAAATTATAAGAAGGTATATAATATTCTCAATACTCTAAAATGAATAGAACATTCCCTTACATCCGAATGACATACACCAGAGATAGATTATCTATGGATGGCAGACTAATGGGTGATTTTTATTTATTTTATATATGTTTATGTTTTTTAATTTTCTATAAAAAAATATATTGCTCCAGTGACCAGGAAAATTTTTAATAAAGGTTTTAAGGAAAAAATCACTATAGATGTAAAATCAGGGGACTGATCAAATTGAGTATGTATTGATAGTATTAGGAAAATTAAGTAGGAGCAGTTCTTTTTCAGGTGAAGAAAATGATGGTGGGTTACCCTGCCTGTTTGGTTTCAGACAGCAATGGGAAGAACTTATCCTGTGTGGAACATCATGTTGCAAGTTAGTCAGAGCCCTCAAGAGAAACATACTGAACAGAAACACAGATAAATATCTGTAAGGTAATTGGGAACAAATTTTTAAAAGATGTCAAGTTGCAGCCTTGCTTTTCATGAAAGAAAACATTTTTTTCCAGAAAGGTCAAGTGATTAGCAATGACGATCAAGCCACTTTTCCCCCAGGTGAGTGAATCCTTGGTGAATATGTTTGGATATTGCCTCCACAGAAAGATACTGAAAATACGAGTACTAAAGGCAATTCTGTGAACTTCCCTCCGCCCCTCAGTGCTGACTAAAAGGGAAGGCCAAGAGCAACACTGAGGAGTCAGTACCAGCAACTGTGTAGGCGCTGAGCCCAGATACCCTGCTCTACAGTTAGACAAAAAAGAGCCTGCAGTCAATAGATCCTTTGGGGAGATCCAGGATTTTCCCATATACATCAAAATGAAGCCTCCACCGCTCCTATCCCACACTTGGGAAATCTGAGGCTGACCCCTCCAAACATGCTGATTCCTTGGTCCTCTCGTTCCCTGCACCTTGGGCAGCCACACCCACCTTCTCTAGAACCTCTCCTCAGAGGGTCCATTGACATTCTGCCACAGACTTTAGAAGGTCCCAGGACTGGCAAAAGTTTAGAATCTCATGGTCTGAGTTCTTTCTTTTTCTTTCTTTCTTTTTTTCTTTTCAATAGGAGAAGAAACCAAAGTTTAATTACATACATATGTACAGAGAAGCCATAGACAAGGGTTCCCTATCTGATTACTTTCTTAATGAGATAATAGATAATAAGCCCCCACAGCAAGAATCAGTTTGTCCTCCAGATCGTGGTGGTCTGGCACATGGTGAATCAGTACTTTTGAATCAGAAGGACTCTTGAGGGAGTCCTCTATTCTTCACACACTTTTTTAATAAAGGAGGAACCAGAAAACTGGGCATTAGAGTCAATATCTCCCAGGAAAATCTCTGAGGTGACCTATGACTCCATCCATCGCTGTCTGATGTTTCCTGTAAGAATCAGAAGTACATCATTGCTTACCAAAGTAGAAGAAAACAAGCCCGGGATTCCAACTTGGGGAGCAGTTTTGCTTATAAGTGAGAACTGAGTCACTCTGAAAGCTGATCTTGGAGACTCTCGTGTAGTGTTTGAACTCAAATTTAGTTTGCCACACCCCTTGCTCATCAAGGCAGCCCATAATTCAGGAGACGCAGCATGGCGTTCACCTGCAGGGCAGGTAACAGGGCCACCTCCCAGATGTTCTAACCCAAAGAAATGGCGTGTGTCTGCCATGGCCCCACAAGGATACCTATAGACAGTCACGAGTCTGGTACAAGCTCACGGAAGGTTCAAGAAAAATTGTGATCAGGAGACTGATCAAATGGAATATGTATTGATAGTATTAGGAAAATTAAGTAGGAGCAGTTCTTTTTCAGGTGAAGAAAATGATGATGGGTTACCCTGCAAACCCAGGAAAATCTCTGAGAACCCTGAAACTTTTCAACCTAGAGGACTGTCTTAAATCCTGGCATTGGCACCTTTGATGACAAGAAAGAAAAAAACAGCCAGGGTTGGACTTTTCCAGCAGAGCTCTAGCAGCTGCCAAAGGTTTGTCAGTTGAAGAGGATTGCTTCATTTTAAGTTATACAGAACAAAGTCTGAGGAGTGGGCGAGTCTGTCAGTAGCCTCTGGGGTTTGGTTAAAGCACTAGACTGTCCCAGTGCTTCTGTTGATAAACTGGCAGGTTTTTAACCATGATTGAGCCCTAAGAGAGTCCAAAGAAAGCAGCAAAACCATCCTGTGTACCAGGGATTTCACATGAATATTGATTCCTGGGGAGTCACTGAAGGACCCAGAAATATTTAAAAGCTGTCAAGAACACTGGTGAGACCACTGTTCAGAGCCTGATTATCTTTGAGGTGCCCAACAACTGCTCTCACAGGTTCCCCCATGCACTTTCATTTCCCATTAGGATTGTAAATCGATACAATCTTTTGGGTAATCAGTTTGGAGTTGCCTTCAAACTTCTAAATGCACACACCCTTTGATTTAGCAAAATCCACTTCCAATTCTGGGAGAAAAGTGGCACAGAGACACATGAACTCAAAAATACGTGTGAAAGAATAGTCATTGAAACCTTGCTTATCAATAAGGAAGTGGTTAACAAAGTTGTGGTACAGTTATAAAATCACCTAATATACATTTGTTAAAAATAATGAATGAAATCTGTTAAGTAGAATGTTTATAGTGTACTGCAGAGTAAAAAAACAATTATTTCCAGTTTTGAGTAAAAATATTTTTTGGACACTTTTTGTTTGAATTTGTTTACAGTGAGAATGTAGCCTTTTTGTACTAAAAGAGCTATTTCCAGAAGCACCCTAGTTATCTTAAGTCTAAACTAGAGATTTGGTAGATTTTTTTCTTGTTTACTTAAAAATCTGTATTGTCAAAAGGTTGCTTATCCAATAAATTAACATTGGGAGGAAAAAGCAAATTCATTCTAATTTTGAACACACTTCTTTAGGTCAAATCTAGAGTTACCTTTAACTCAGAGAAATGGGAAGTTAGGGGAGAAATGTTTTACCTGTGCTTCAATACATGCACACATACACGTATATTGCCATAATTCTCCTGTTATGTGTGGTCTCTCCATAGACTCCTGGAGGCCCCAGTGCCTTTTCAGGGAGTCCATGAAGTCAAAACTGTTTTCATTATAATTCTAAGATATACTTTTCACCTTGTTGACTTTTGCACTGATAGTACAAAAGCAATGGTAGGAAACAATTGCTGGTAGCACACTTCAGGGCAATGTTATCAAACTGTACTAGAAGTTAACATAGTGTTCTCCACTAAGCACTCAAAAGGAAATAGAGCCATTTTACTAAGAATGTCCTTAATAAAGCAGTAAAAGTTAATTTCATTAAATCTCAACCTTTGAGTGCACATATTTTTTAAATTCTATGTGAGCAAATAGGAAATATACATAGAGCACTTCTGCTGTGTATTAGTTGTCTCAAGGAAAAACACTCATGCAACTAACCGGTTTTTCATAGAACACTACTTTTACTTGAAAGTCTGACTGACATGAATTTTGGTAGTTCAAATTTATGTATTTGGCAAGAGTTTTCCGGAGCCTGCCACTTGTAGAACAGCCGACAGTGTTTATTTCCAACTCTAAAATTCAAGCTTTGGGGCAAAAATGAGGGTTTGGGAGAATTATATCCACTACCACTGACTGTTTCTCAAAACTTAGACTTTTCTGATGAGACAGGTGATATTAGTTTTTTGATATCACATTATAAAGTGGTCACTATTTGCATGAGCTGCATAACTCAGTGAACCAATACTTTCCAGATGACCAATGCATGATGTCACAAAGCCATGCATGAGTGAAAGAACCATCCAAAGACAGACCTATGGATTTTAATGTAATGGGATATGAAAAGTTTATAGCTACAGTTTCAACCTTTACAAAACTAACAGTTGTTGGATTTTGGTGTGATATTAAAGGGAGTAACCACAATTATTTGAAAAAGCCATTAAAATATTCTTCCCTTTCTCAACTATCTGTGTGAGGCCAGATTTTCTTCATATTTTCTTCAACCAAAATACTATATTGCAACTGGCTGAATATTGAAGCAGATAAAAGAATCTGTCTTTTATTAAGCCAGACATTAAAAATTCACTCTTCCCGTTGAATTGTTTTGCTCTGTTTTGTCACAGAAATAGGTTATGTTCACTTTTATAAAATGACTCATAGATTTTTTTAAATTCCTGTTTTAATTTCTGATACAATAAATAGGAATTGATAAAACCCACATATATAAACAAGAGCTCTTCGAGTCTTTAATAATGTTTCAGAGTATAAAGGGGTTCTGAGACCACATATAGCAAGTCCATTGGAGGCAGGAGACTGGAGGAGATGACCTATGGAGACTCTGCTGTCTTTTCTCACTCAGCCAACTCTCACCTTTAGCACAACAGTCAAAGCTTGGGAGCAAGAACTCTGCACTGTTCTGAGTGTGTTCCATTGCGAAAGGGGAAAGACACCTCTTTCCCTCCTCCAAGTCTCCAGACAAGATTTGGGGGGTGCAAAGGGTGAAGAGAGAGACTAGGAAAGGGCAGATGAGAGTGAGGGACCTTCCCAGCTCTGAAGGAGTTTATTGAGAATCCCCAAAGTTAGATGGTGAGGACGAGCTGTCGGGGCCCTTGCGGGGCCACTCAGGCTCAGTAGCAGGACCACGGAGGAGCCAGGGACGTCCCCCAGAGCAACTGCACTCTTTCTATCCCTTTCCTCCAGCTCTTGGCCCATTTCTTCAAACGGCCTAAACCATTCAATGACCTTTAAGAACCACCAATTCTTCTAGGCCACAGTAGCACACCATAAATTAGAATAGGCCAACAGGGAAAGAAATCAAGCCTAAAGAGAAAAAAATGTAAACCAACACGGTAACAACTATTACTTTACCACATACCTCCCCTTCCACCTACACCTCTACCCATGCTGTTTCTTTTCCTTCCTACCATCCATCCCCTCCCCCTGGCCTGAGCCCTGTCCTTAGGCTATTACAGGTTCATTAGGGATATAGTCACTAGGGTGAGAAACTCCAGGGTAAGGCATTTCACCATGATTTGAAGCCCCTCTGCCATTTACTGGATGTGTAATCAAGCAGGGAACTCTCCTTCTCTGGACCCTCAGTTTCTGCATCGTTCAGATGACATGCTCTCCTAGCTCTGTGATCCTCTGGTTATTAATAAACAGGAGATACATCCAGGCTGGAACCAAGGACTCTGAAATAAATGTATTATCATTGAAAAGAGCAGAGGATCTAGAGAGAGAACACAGCTCTAGTTTGCATCACTCCACATTATCCCCTTTGGACATGGACATATTCCTGGGAGATGAGCAAACACAGGTCTCTGAAAACAACCTGGAGAAACCTCCCAAGGCTTGGTTCCTCCCTCGGGTTCACTTAGTAGGTTCCTGGAGTTGGTATTGGACAATTCTCAGTCCTTGCCCAGCAGGGGTAATTCCTTCGGTCTTAGAGGCCCTAGAGATTTTCACCCTCCCTGTTGTAACCCTGCTAATTAGACCAGGCTCTGGCCCCTACCATTTCTTTTTTTTTTCCCTACCATTTCTTTTTAATAGCTTTATTGAAATATAACTCACGTACCACACAATTCACCCAAAGTGTACAATTAAGTGGCTTCTATTCACAGAGTTGTACAACCATCACATCTATTTTGGAACATTTTCATCACCCTTAAAGAGAAATGCTATACCCCTTAGCCATTATTCTCACAAACCCTTAGGTCCCAGCCCTCGGCAACCACTAGTCTACTTTCTGTCTTTGTAGATTTGCCTGTCCTGGATAGTTCATATAAATGGAATTATACAATATGTGGTCCTTTGTGATTAGCATCTTTCACTTAGAATTTTCAAGGTTCATCGATGTTGTAGCATGAGTCAGTTCTTCATTCCCTTTTATTGCTGAGTAATATTCCACTGTATGGATAAAATACATTTTGTTTATCTAATCAGTTTGGGTTGTTGGGTCATTTGGGTGGTTTCCACCATTTGGCTACTGAGACTAATGCTGCTGTGAACATTGGTGTATAAGTATTTGTTTTTGAGTCCCTGCTTTCAATTCTCTGGGGTGTTTAACTAGTAATGGAATTGCTGGATTATATGATAATTCTATGTAACTTTGAAAACACAGTTTTCTGGGGTTGCTACACCGCTTTATATTCCCACCAGTGATGTATGAGTGTTCTAATTTCTCCACATCCTCACCAATACTTGTCATTTATAGCCATCCTAGCAGGTGTGAATATGGTATCTCATTGTGGTTTTGATTTTCATTTCCCTGATGGCTAATGATGCTGAACATCGTTTCATGTGCTTAGTAGCCTTTTATCACCTTTAGATAAATGTCTGTTAAGACCCCTTTCCCATTTTTAAGTTGAATTGTCTTGATTATTGAGTTGTAAGAGTTCTTAATATATTTTA